TTTTTAACTATTTTCGATATCTATTTGGACTATTCGATATGTCCATAATATAGTTCTCGAAATAAGTTTTGAGATGACATAAGCAATTTATAGATTCGATTAGCGTACGATCGTCGGAAAATTTTTAAAATTAGCATGTTATTGAAATTCAAATTTATTGTGATTTTACCCCTATTTCGTAGAGTTTAAAATCAAATTTTTAGTAAATTTTGATAAAAGTTAAACATTTACGGATTCCATGAAATATGTTATTAAAATTAATTGTTAACTTTGATTTAGATTAAAATTTAGATTTCAATCGATATCAAAAACAAAAACAAAAATTCTCAAATGTTGGGGGGCACGTGCCCCCCAGGACCCCCCGGGTCCGCCAGTGATCATCGTGTACATGGTGATGTAAAGATCGATGACATGGAAGAGAAAAAGATTATAATAAATGAGGTGTAATTTCCACGCTTTAATTTCTATCGTGGGGCTAAATGTTTCAAAATTGGACTTGGGTTTAAAGTTATAATATGTAATTATCTAATTGGGTATTAAGTTTAAGTGGTAATTACACGAAACCCTATGTTTTAATATCCAACTTCCAAAATCATATCCAAGTTTTATTACTTCCAAAATCAGATATTTAGTATTTAAATATTATATTACAAATTTCACCAAACCTAATTAATTTCCCATTTCCTCTCTCTCTAACTCACCGTTCTCTTCTCTCTTTCTCTCTCAACCTCGCCGCCGGCCATGAACNAATTAATTTCCCATTTCCTCTCTCTCTAACCCACCGTTCTCTTCTCTCTTTCTCTCTCAACCTCGCCGCCGGCCATGAACTCCAGCCTCTTCCCTTCTCCCTCCTTCCCCTACACGTCTCTCCCTTGCCTTTCTCTAACTTCAACCCTCATGCCGCTGCCGTTCACCCAGTAGCGTTGCGACGACGCTACTGTTCGAAAAGCAGTCGACGGTGACGCTGCTGTTCGAACGACAGCGTCCCCACCCTCTTCCACTTCGCGACGACGCTGCTGTTCGGACAGCAGCCGACAACCACGCTGCTATTCGAACAGCAGTCAACGGCGACACTGTTGTTCGAACAGCAGCGTCCCCAGCCTCAACGACCCCGCTGCCCTTCGCAGCCTCGCGATACCCACTCCGGCGAAGCACCGCACCAGCGTGCGCGAAGCAGAATTAGTGAGGGTTTTGTGGTGTTTCTGTGGTGGATCTGCCAGTTGGGGAGGGTTTTGGTGTTTCTGTGGTAGATCTGCCAGTTAGGGAGGGTTTTGATGGTTGTT